GTCATAAGTGACTCAATAGCACATTACAACTACAAAGACTAAAAATACCTCTAGAGGAGGCTCCTCACATTTCTCCTTCTTAGAGGTTTATGGCTTTGTACCACTGATCTTTGCCTTGGCAGACTTGCTCATTCTGTACTACTGTACCTCAGCTCCTTAGAAGTATTAGAAATGACCTCTGAAAAAAATGTAATTTATAACCATATTTTTACAAATGAATTTTGACAAAATAATAACAAGAAATAAGATGTATTATGTGTAAACTTGAGCTGCTGTTGCTATTAGGTGCTGTAGAGTCAAGTACAACTTATAGTGATCCTATGAACAACAGACCTGAACCCTGTCATATCCTGTAGTAATCACACAATTTCTAACATACTTGAGCTCATAGCTATACTTACAGTTAGTCCGTTTGAAATTACTCTTTTCCTTCATCGTCCCTTAACCTTTCCAAGCATGATGTCCCCACTTTAAGGAATAGTCTCTCCTAGCAATATGCCCATAGTATGTGAAATGAAGTTTCGCCATCCTTGCCTGCAAGGAGCACTCTGGCTTCACTGTCTCCATGACATATCTGTTTATTGTTTTGGATATTCAGCATTCTTTTCCAGTACCACTGTACGAAGGCATCAGTTTTTCTCCTGTCATCCTTATACATTGTCTAACTCTAAGATGCATAGCAACTGATTGAAAAGACCATAATCTGAATCAGGCACACCATAGTCTTTGAACTGATATCATTGCTCCACAATAATTTGGGGAGGTCGCTGAATGGAGACTTTCTCAGTACTACATGACTTTTTAGCAAAAGACATGTGAAAGACTTTTTCACAGAGGAAGACATTCATATGGCTGAGAAACACATGAAGAATTAGTAAAAATGACTGGCAATAAGAGAGATGCAAATCAAAATCACAGTGAGATACCATCTCACCCTGGTAGCAATGGCAAAGTTTAACAGGACAGCAAACAATAAATGTTGGAGAAGAAGCGAGAGAGATTGGAACTGTCATACACTGTTGATGGGATTGTAAAATGGTACAACCACTCTGGAAGGGAGTTTGACGTTTCTTCAGTAAGAACAATAAAACTCCACATGATCTAGCTACTTCACTGCTAGAAATATACCCTAAGGAAATTAGAAGTTGAAACACAAATGGAGACTTGAACCCCAGTGTTCATAGCAGCATTATTCATAATCATAGGAACATGGAAACAACCCAAATGTCCAACCACAATCAAATGGATTGATACATTCATATAAAAGAATACACTTTCATAACACTTAGTGGCAACGATTTATAAAGAAAAATACATAGCTTGGGAGAGACTGGAGAGCATTATGCTGAGTGAACTGAGTCTCAAAAAGACAAATGCTGTATAAGACCATGGTAGTTCAAGAAGGGAAAGAGTAGGAACAGAGGAGAAAGGGTAGGGGCACAGGGTTGAGGGTGGGCAAGGGAGTTATCACAGGGTCACATAATTTTGAGGGTAGAGGACAAAGAAAGTGGGAATGATTCATCAAGGATGACAAGGTGATGGTGGGACTAATTCAATAGTGATTGATTTTGTAAAACACAATGTATGGGGATGATTTTATGAAACAGTGTGTATGGTGGAAAGTGTAAAACACAGTGTATACGAATTTTGTTTGCAAATCAATTATAAAATGAAAAAAAAAATAGATTCCAAAATTATGCCTCTTGATCTGACTGCTGGTACCAAGTATATTGATTGTGGATCCAAATAAGATGACGTCATTGACAGTTTCAGTCTTTTCTCCATCTATGTTGATGTTAACGTGTATACTAATTGGATTTTTTTTATAAGAATGTAGTCGTTGTTGTTGTGTGCCTTCGAGTTGCTTGTGACTCAGTGACCCTATGCATAACAGCCCTAAACCCTGCTCTATCTTGGGCCAACCTTATTGTCTCTGACACACCTACCCCCATTACCCCAGTCACTAAATCAGTCCTTCTAATTGAGGGTCTTCCTCTCTTGCACTGTGCAGCCATTCTCCTAAGCATGATGTATCTCTTCAAAGGATTGGTCCTTCATTAAAACATGCCCAAGTTATGCCAAACAAAGTTTCAGAATACTTGCCTCCAAGAAACAGCCTGTTTTACCCTCTCCAAAATCAACATGTTCATTCTCCTAGAAGTCCATGGTATACTCAGTACTCTTCTCTGGCATCACAGCTCAAAGGCATCAATACTCCTTCTCTCATCCTTGGTTGATATCCAGCTTTCTAATGCGTAGCAAGAAATTGCAAAATCTATGGCCTGGCTCAGGTACACCTTAGTCTGCAGACTGACATCGTTGCTCTTCAGTGCTCTGGAGAGATCCCTGATAGCAGGCTTTCCCAGTGCAATTTATAAGAATAGCAAGTCAAATTAAGAGTTCTTCTGTAATTTACATATGTTTTAGATTTAAAAGTAATGTTCTTGGATTATATAATTTGATACATTGTAAAATAGAGTCTTTAAAAGATAATAATGACATTGCTGTCAGTTTTTACTAAATGCTCAATTTGTCATGATGAATTCCCTCTTTTATCCTACTCACTGTATTCAGAGTAGACTTCTTCCATAGGGTTTTCAAAATGTTGACTTTTTGAAAGGCTGTTTCCATATTTGTTTTCTGAAGTATATTTGTATGGTTCTAAAGAACTTTTCTGCTGGGAGTCAAACCTTTAACCTGTCAGTTCTTTCTAGAGGCTGGGTCATAAGTAAGATCCCTGTTTTAAATCTGTCTTCCAGTTTGTACAGGCCCTGCAAAATGTATGAGATCTTCTATGTGCTTTTTAAATTTTTTTTTTCCTTGTTGATACACATGGAAACATTTGTGGTCAAGAGAAGGCTATATGGGTAGTAAGGGATGGGGAATTCCTTGTCCTCCTTCAGAATCTTGGCTTGAGGAATGATATTGATCTTATTTCTGTAGAAACTCACTTTACTTAATGATATGCTTTCCTTCTACAAAATACATGTATTTCTTAGCTAATTTTTATACCAGTGTTAACAGTATTAAAAAACATTCTCTATATATGTTTTCTGACTGTGTGTAAAAACACCAACATCCCCGTGGGGATGGCCATATCTGATTTTTACCAACTTCACAAAGGAAAGCTGCTGCTATCAACCACACCAGTGACACAAATCCAGTTTTCATGAGGCCATATTTGTCCCCCACATTCTTGCACCTCCTTCTACTCACCCAACACAAATCTTACTGCTTTACTGGGTCAGATATCCCATACAGTAGCTCACAGAGTGCACAGAACCATATTAGGGAGCTTGAAAATCTGTAATTCAGGTTAGTAGCAGAATATAGTTACTCAGGACAGATTCAGAATTGTGCAAGCAGGGACTTGAACCTTGAGCCTCATGGCTTTAGCCTAGTGTTACAAGCTCTCAGGCCTGCCTGTTAAAGTTCCCTCCCCTCCTCCTCCAGTTTTTGTAAGAAACCTGAGCAAAGGCTCTTGGCTCTGTTTCTTTGGTGGCGGTAGTTAGCTGTCTCAAGGTCAAGCCATCTCATATTGTGTCTTTGGTCCTTTTTCCAGCCTTGGCTGCTGCAGCTGTATGTCTAACTGGTGTAAGAATCTCTGGCCCAAAGGTTCTATACTGCATTCTTTCTTCTCTTTTGTTGGTAGTAGGGTTCTCTTATTCTGCTGTTGGATCCACTCAATTTAATGGAGAGTCTATCCAGTCCTGTGGATCAGCTAACACCTCTTATTCCTCTTATTCACACGTTCCCAACTCCTTCACAAAGGCTAGGGAAAGCCATTTTAAACAATAAACTTGTAACACAATGTGTAGAACTTCTAACTTTTCTCAAACTTGAACAACGTGTTTCACTGGACTGCCATTTGGAATGCTGAAATATGCAACAATAACTAACCAGCAGTAGATCTAAGCAATATCACTAAAATGTGACAAGGTGAAAGAAATATGGAATAAGAAGATAAAGGGAATAAAATAGGATACCTAGAAGAACTTGAATGGGAAGAAAATGAAAGGAAAGGGTGAGAAACAGTGTTTAAACATTACTAACAATTGTTTTAGATAATGTACCCTGAAATCTAAGAAAGTATATATCTAGCAAAACAATAATATAGGACGGGAGGAGTGGGCAGGGAGAAAAATGCAACAATGAATGAATGGAAATCCAAAATTTCTGTAAACATTCATTAAAATTTAAAATAAGATTAAAAAATAGGACAAATATTTTATAATATATTTGAATATTAGTACTGTTTACCAATTTAGGTTTTGTTAGTACTGGCATTGCTGTATTCATAGCTGTTTTTAAATATATTTGAATTAACTACCTTATATTTTATTGGCTATAAGAGTGAAATTCTTTAGATAGTATTAACTGTAGGAAAGTTCTTTTGATCAACCAAGAGAACCAAAATAAAAGATAAAAGAGAAAATGTAAATGAATTAATTTATAAGAAATCAGGACTATATAACAGACTGCGGCTTGCACTTCTGTTAAGGTTTAGTGTGAGGTTATAGGTCAAGGTACTAATAAGAGTGTTTGGGATGTCTGCTGCCATGAAACAAAATGGAAACTTGATTGATAGCTCGAGGGCTGAAGGGAGAGAGTGTGGTGGAGAAAGCAAAGGTCAGGGAGCCATTTCCCTTCTCTGTATGTGTAACGATCAGCTCTCTCCAAAACAAAATGTAGATGATATTGATCAATATGGCATATGCTATGCACATTTCTATGAGTATTGTAAAGTGTCATTGCAGATGAAGTTGTAATAAGTGCTTTGGTATTTTGAAAGCTGGAGTAAAATAATTTATAAAAAATGGTAATAGTTTTGATCCCAGGTTTAAATTAAGTATGAGTAACTTGTTCAATTATATTATCAAATATGTATGATTATAGTAAAATGTTAACTTTTTTTTTTAAGCAGATTTTGGAAATGTTATAGAGCAGGACTCTCATTTGTTTTACTTTGCTTTTTTCTTTTTTTATTGTGCTTAAAATAGGTCTGGTTTGCATGAAGTCAAGTAGTTCAGTTGTGGAATTGGTGATGCTGCTGTGTTCTCAGGTGAGTTCCAAGAAAAAAAAAAATGCAGAATTAAGAGTCAGTTCTCCCATGGTTTTACTTTAGTAAAATGTTTTTATGTTTATAATGTTTTAACTTTCCATTTTAAAGTAAATGTCAGTTAAAAATTATTTTTTCTTGTTTTTGAGATATATGTATTCCCCCCCATCCCAACAAAAAAGTACTGAGAAAGCAAAATAGATGAATGGGAAACAGAAGTTTAAAGAGTTAAATTAAAAATGTCCAGATTATATATAACCTTGATCTTGAGCTGCCTAAATAATTTCTTTGCTGTATATATTAAGGTTATAGAAACAGATTTATTTCTGTACTTTGTGTGGTGGCACTCTGAATCCCCTGAGAATGATGGGTTTAGTTCCCTTTTGTGCAGAGGTTATAAAATGAGTGAGAAATACTTTTGAATCCTTGTCATTGCTAATTATTTTTGACATACATAATAGATTTGGGAAAACTTTAACAAAAACATGGCAGCCACGAAATAAGTTGTGAAGATAAATTAGTAAAAGCAAAATTCCTTATATACTTAGAAACCTGGTACATCACATAGTAAATTATAATGATTTTTTAAATACCCATGTAAGATCATGTTTCCTCTGATGTTTTCTGTTTTGCAGTTAACCAGATGAATGATTTTATTGAGAGTTTTCTTTGTAGTCTTTTAAAAATGGTATCTTGATGGTAGTAAATTCCCCTACTTAAAACTTTAAAATAGCTTTTTTTAATAGGGAGGGTATTGGTCTAGAGGTCAAGGGTTCTGACCCATTTCAAAACCTTTGACCTTCATTTACAACTCTCATGGTTTACTTGCCTGATGAATAAGGACAATGCAAAATTAATGTTTCTTTGCATCGATTTATTCATTTTAGTGTTTATAATGCCAAATTTATTTTGACTGTGTTGATAGACGTTTCATGAATACAAATTAAAGAATCATAGAAGGTGTGAAAAATCAATACTATATATTGTCAATAAAGTGCAATAGGTACAATTAGTTCTGTAGATACATACGACTAATAGATTTATATAATAGACTTGTGAAAGGTAGTTATGTTTCAAGTGAGCTTATTATTGTTAGATTTTGTGGGAAATGTTTTATAACTTAGTCATCACAAGACTTCATTTCTTCAGAAGCTAATTGTGGAGAATATTTCAGTAAATCAGTAAATAATATAAAATAATTGTTTACTTTTTGCAATGGAATTGCCATATACAGTTATTATAAGTACATAAAATTACCTTTTAAGAAGCAGTCATTTAAAATTATGGATGTTACTTGACAAGAGTACAAGTTTTTATTGTATATTACTGATATTTCATAGGTAAATTTTAGTAATGAAATTCTGCTTTCAAGTTTAGGAGAATTACACATAATTGAATACGTTTCTGGTACTTGAAACATATTTTGTAAATGTATATTACATATATTTGAATTTGTATTTGAAATTGCATAAATAATGTCATGCTTTAATATGCCTATTTGTCATTTTTGTCACTGTACTGTTTAATACTAATGTAATTAAATGAGATTTAAAGATTGCTTGGTAGTAAGTTGCAAAAGTTTTTTGTCCGAATAAATTGCATTACTAGTCACTTGAAGTCGTGGCCATTTTTTATGAGGTCTTCAAAAGTTCCATGGTATCTTCACAATATGTAGCACAGTGTGAAAAATGATGTGAAAAATGAAGCCAGAATTAGCTCCAGATGTATACAGATTGTTCCAGGGTGATAATTACATTTTTCACTTTGAATTTTCCTAATTCAAAGAGGTCAGGTTGGCAATCACAAAAGTGATTTATTTTGTTAAAAACTGAACTGTCTTTTTCTACGCGAAATCTTAGGAGATATGAAATTGAATTTTAAGTCGACATTTTGCAGATACTGGGTGGAGATGGTTTGAGTTTGATTGATAATTGTTTTTAGTCTGATATAGAGTGGGAAGTGAAAAGCTAGCATCTTGCTAAAATTTTAATTAATATTTTAAGAGGAGATGGAGAGGATTGAGTGCCAAAGATCGAAAGATCAGGTCAAAAACTCCTTTTTAATCACATAAATAATGGGATATGCTTATGAACTTAACATCTGCAAATTTGACTTAGAACTTTACAAATTAGTTGGTGTTAATTCATGACAATGCACTATGTCTGATTATTTTTCTTGGTTCAATTCTGCATTTACTTTTTGCAATTCTAATAAAGTGTTTAAAGTAGCCATATATACATGTATGTTATTTTTTTGTACAGAAGGAAAATTGAGAGTAACATTTTTTTAAAAATTGGGAAATAATCCTATTTACTGTGTTTTCACATCAGCTATGAAGTAAATGAGATATTTCTTTAAAGCTTCCCTTACTGTTACGCTTTGCACCAGTGGGCTTGTGCGTGGTAAAGACTGTGAGGATGACTCAGGATAGGTTACGATTTCAGTCTGTTCATGGATTCACTGGGTTCTGGTTGAACAGACCCAACCACAAAACTCATTCTTTAATGGTTGATGGACAACATTTCATACTTTTACTTAAACTTTAGCATAGTTTAGTAAAAATGTAAACAGAGCTTAAATGTTTTCTTTTTTTTTTTAAATGTTTTCTAACAATATTTATTATTGGAATAATATTACAACGGAGGGATGGGCATTCTTCTTCCATACCTTTGAAAGCCAGTCAGAGGGTCAGGTAGGGTCGTTTCTAACTCAACAGTACACAACCATAACAACAACTACTGTTGATAATAAGTACAATACAGGCAGTCTCAGAATTCCTGTTTGGTTTTTAACGTTTTTTTAAATTCATGTTGCACATTTTCTTACTCCCTCCCCTCAACCTTCCCCAGCCCATCCTGTAATATACCCCTTGTTTCACCTTGTTCTCTTACATATGACATCTAATTATATACTCCTTTCCGTTTTCCCCTTCAACTTTTTATTGCAGTGTTCATTATCTATTCACTCCTTTTTCATGCTCTCCCTAATACTCCTATGTCCTTTCTAATTTATAACAGTGGTGTTATGCAGTATTTGTACTTTTGTGACTAATTTCACTCAGTATAATGTCCTCCAGGTTTCTCCATGTTGTGTAATGTTTTATGAGTTCATTGTTTTTCAGTGCTGTGTAATATCCTATTCTGGGAATGTACCATTGTTTTTCTATCCATTTGTTTGTTCATGGGCAGTTGGGTTGCTTCCATCTCTGCTATTGTGAATAATGCAGCAATAAATATGAGTGAGCATCCTTAGTCTGTTTTAAAGTTAGATTTGTAGGTAGATTAGAAGAGTTTGATAGTATTGGGATCTTATATTAATTTGTCAATGGATAATCTTAGAATACAATATATAATGCACTTTTCTATGCATAAAGATATTAATAAAACACTTCCATACATACTAAAACATCTTTAATATAATAATACGGTAACAATAATAACACTGACAGTAATGTTTTGTTGCATGTTGCAAAATCCTAACTGTTTTTACTGTGTCCCTTTACATACCTCAGTATATTTTATTCACTAGTATTTGGTATAGAGTATTAGTCATAAACCCAAATGCTGTGTGTGTGTGTGTGTGTGTGTGTATAATCTGCGTTTTATTAAGTTTATTAATCTTTTAATGCCATATACAATGCAAAGTTTGTTTAAGCTCGACATTTGATTTAAAATTCTTTACATGTTTAAGAAGAGTCCTAGTTACACAGTGGTTAAAGTGGTGTTGCTAATCGAAATGTCGTTGACTTGAATCCACTGTCCTCTCTGCGGGAGAAAGACATGCGTTCTTTTTCTTTAGAGATTTATATCCTTGAAAACCCTATGGGGAGGTTCTGTTATGTCTACATTTTAGAGTTACCATGAGTCAGAATAGACTAGAAGACAATGAATTTGGTTTTGTATTTTTAAATTGTTAAAATAAGACTGTAAATATTTTCCAGCAAACTGTCTATTGTCTGATGCATACAAATAGATTGAAAGTTTTAAAAATTTGTTTCAGTTTCAGTTTTTAAATGCAGCTCCTCTGTACCCAAAATTTTTTGCACATGGATACAAAGTTATATTAATTTAAATAAAATGTTAAGTTATTCTAATAATATTATTAGGGCAGTGTATAAAGTGTTTTTATCTTCCTTATTTCACATTAATATCACTTTTGAAAGAATTGACATTGCATTCAAGGGCACTTTATAAAAGCATCGCGTTGCTCATCCTAATTCAGTCTGACATGCATTCCAATAACACTACCTCCCTTCTTGGGTTTAAAGCTAAATTTATGACTGTGCATTGTGAAGTGCATCATTTAAAAATGGTTTCAACCCAAAACATCTAATAAATAAATAATGTGTATGGCTACTCAGTAGTAGACTTTCTAGACTAGAAATCATTCCATCGGATACTCAACAGTCCACTATCGGAGAGACCTGTCAGATAAATCTTGTGGTAGCTGCATTCATGTCCTGTAAATCACATATTATTGTCTGAGTCTTCTGCCAGGTCATCTATTCTTTTCCCATTTATCAGAAATGCATACAGTATATAGAAAAACTACAAGCACCAAGTAGTCTGGCCTGGCATCCTGTTTGAGTAATTAATTACCAGCAAATGTTAATTTAAAATACTGTTAGTTTAATGGTTTTTTGAAACAAATTCCATCAAGGCATATACATTGTTGTTATTGGGTAACCATTTGCTTCATATAACATAAGGTTTGGTCATTCTAGACTCAGCTTACTTTTACTTTTCTATGTCTCTGAATTAATTTATTTAAAATTTGTTATTTTCACAATAAGCAGCAGGTAGCAGTATTCTTGTGATTCTTTCATTTCATTGTCAGTTTTTTTTAGTGTTTATCTCCTGAATGTTTTAAATCCTCTGAGTTTTAGAGTAAAATTTTCCTCTATAGCTTCATTCTTCTATAATTTCTTTACCTTATTTTTAGTTTTCTTCTTGTTTTTTGTTTATCCATTTCACACATGTGATATTAGACCCTTTTAAAGACTT